AGAGAGGGGCATATATATGTGTCAGTACATCTAGTTGAAGATGCAAAGAGTGTCAAAGTTGGACAGTGTGAAACATTGAGTGGGTTTCATGTAGTAGACAAAAGAAAAATCTGGGAGAATTTCTCAATGGTTAAATATTCAAACGAAGCTAATGATGCAGTTAGCTTGATGGTGACTGTTGAAGACACTGGTGTCGGTATACCTCAAGATGCTCAGATCCGTATATTCACACCATTCATGCAAGCTGACAGCTCTACCTCGCGGACATACGGTGGAACTGGATTAGGACTGAGCATTAGCAAATGCTTAGTGGAACTGATGGGGGGAGAAATAGGCTTTATTAGTAAACCTGGGATTGGCAGCACATTTTCTTTCACTGCTGTTTTCAGGGATCGATGCAAAAGTTCAGATGATATAAAGAGGCACCATTCTGACCCAGCTTTATCAGATTTCCAAGGTATGAGAGCACTGGTTACTGATGGGAGAAGCATACGTGCTGAAAGTACCGCGTATCATTTGAAAAGATTAGGAATACATGTCCATGTTGCAATTGACCAAGACTCTGCAATTAATACCATATTGGATGTGTGCAGTAACAGGTATTTTGCTTTTACTATTAAATATACCAAGGAAGCACCTTTAGGCTTGAAGGTCCATAAGTTCAGCTAAAGTAATATTACTGCCATAAATCCTTAAAACACAAAAATGCTTGAATCCTCCTGTATATTCAGTATTCAGCAGCTGTATACTGTCACAACTCATCAAAATTTCCTATACTTCTTCAGTGTTCCATGCATGTTTCCTGATGGATCTTCTTATTGCTAATGGTGGGTTCAGAACCAACTTGAGAGGCTGTGTTGCTGCAAAATTCAGCTTTGTTATAACAAGTAAATCAATCCAAAATATTATTTCAATCATACAAGTTTAATACCTATTGAAAGTAAAGTAAAAACAATTTTCCTCGCAATAAAATATAAATTAAAAAAAAATCTTTCATCTGTTAATTTCCGTTGATGAGTAAGCCACAAATAAGTTTTATACAGTGGATAAAATTTTATCTGCATTATCTCATTTTGTCTCTTAGAACTTCCAAACAGAGCTTGATTACTGGGTTCAGAGTTTCTAAGTACCATAGAGGAATCTATCTTTATTTTTCAAGTAAAAAAAGGCACAATGTGATTTGTTCCATTGACCACATAGTAAAAGTTTGATGATAACTCAGTTTTAGCTTGAGATTTTGTAGATTAATAAGGTGACAATTATAATTTTATGCATTATTGGTAATGCTTGTAATATTTCTTTTGCAGTGGGAAAGAGCGTTTGGACATGGTACTTGTTGATAAAGATGCATGGGGTGGGGGTTCAGGGATTTCTTTTCCTTGCCTTCTTTTAGAGCGCAGGAAAAATGGTGCAGTTGTGCATCAAGAAAGTCTACCAAAGATGTTTCTGGTAGCTACTTTCCTAAGCCCCACCGAGGTTCATGACCTGAAGTCAGCAGGATATGTTGATAGCATACTGAAACCATTGCGTCTGAGTATGATTGCTGCTTGTATTCGGAAAGCACTAGGTGTAGGGAGTAAGAGGCAGCAATTGAAAGGGCAACCAATGGCACTTCATAAACTTCTTATTGGAAAAAATGTCCTAGTTGTTGATGACAATGCAGTCAACCGAAAAGTGGCTGCTTGTGCTTTAAAGAAATTTGGTGCTACAGTTACTTGTGCACACAGTGGGAAGGAGGCTATTAGAATGCTCCAGCCTCCACACAATTTTGATGCATGCTTTATGGATGTTCAGATGCCAGAGATGGATGGGTATTTCTCCTTTTTTGTTTGAACTGTTATAAAAGATGGATATATTTTTTGGTTTGGTTATTTGATTTTGCTATGCTGCATGAGGTCTAAACCCATGTCCATTCATGTCATGAGAGCTTTTGCAATCTCTTTTTTCTCCAAAACTAAAAATTATTGTAGTTTATCTATTTCATGTTTTCTTCTTTTCTCCTTTCGGCCATTTTTTTTAATCTATATTTTATGTTACTTGCTATGGAAGTACTTCTTGCTTGCTAGTTTGTATATCGGTACTTCCCTATTCAATCAATTAACTACTAGTTGTTGCTCCTTTTCTTATTACTTTCAAATCACTTAACCATATATGCATTTTGAAATAAACTTATAGTTGTATGTGGTAATAAAGAAATCATTATGGTTCTCCATGCTCGGATATCCAAAATCTTTACTTAAGAGTTGACTAATATGGTTACATATATTTTGGTTTAGGTTTCTAGATATATTTCTTACTGGTTATACAACCTTCTGCAGTTTCGAAGCCACGAGACAGATCCGTCTCATGGAAGATAGAGCCAAAGAGTTGATTAACTCTGGAGATGCATCATTGGAGATGTATGGCAATATAGCTCATTGGCATGTACCTATACTGGCTATGACGGCTGACATAATTCAGGCAACTCATGAAGAGTGTTTGCGGTGTGGTATGGATGATTATGTGTTGAAGCCCTTCGAAGAACAGCAACTCTATTCTGCTGTGGCACGTTTCTTTGAGTTTGATGTGGTTGATGGAGTGTCATAAGAGATGATGCTTTGTGATTGCTAAGTTATTCTTCTTGCGCTTATCTAGTGATTGTCAAGGTGTTGAGGAGTGACAGCAAATAGTGGCCGACATGAGAAAGCAGGAAGAAGCTTCAAATTTGTGGGCTTCCTGGTTTGGTAAGCCTTATCACATGTTTTTTTACCTTTTCTCTTAGCAGTATTTCTCAACTTTCTTAAATGCATTGATTAGTACATGGTTGTGTGATGGCTCCTTGAGCTTTGATTTTTGTGGCTAAGAATTGGCAGCTGCTTTTCCTTACCTAATCTAATAGTGGTTTAGATTCGTAAGAACCATTCTCTAGAACCTTTGCAGGGGTCAAGGGGCTTTAGGCCCCATAAATGTGCGACGGCCCCTTGTTTCTGTGTGAGATCGTTCTTGTTTCCTCGGAAAATAATGTCATGTATGACTACAAACACAGTAGCACATCAGGCACCTAGTCAGATTTCTTGTTGGTAGACCTATCAAATGCCTTTGATCAAAGTACATGATTCCCTAAGAGATATACTTTTCCACAGACCAAGTGTATTGGTTGCAGTATATAAACCAGAACATATCCTTATCTACTGACTTGTTTCATCGGAGACACAGATTGCAAGAAGTTAAATAGAATTGGTTAAACCATGATGATCAGGAACTCGGTACATATCAATAAGCAATCAGCAATCCAGCTTCTTCTTTACTGTATTCAAGAGCCTCTGAGCCAATAAACACAAGAGCAACAAGGTAAATTGTTGCCCTGTGTTCATTTTTAAGCCATGAGTAAATTGTTATTTCACTTTTGAGACTTCTGTCCCTCTATCCTATCCTTTTTTCTTTAAAGCTATGTCATACATACCATTTATGAACCCAGCTGAATGAATTTAATTGTTCGATATGTGCCCAGCTGAATGAATTTAGTCTCCAATTTCTGTTTTTTTAAATCCTCCAAATTCAAATATCTTGTCATTAAGATTAGATGAATATTGTATGCTTGAGCAGGTTTACTGATTGTAACTTGTATCCAGGGGCACTCAGGTACCAGCACATTATAGCAGATTCATGTCAAACATAAGGTACCACTCAAACTAGAGGTAAAGCTTGATCTCTTCCCACTGATGTTGTATTCTTATTGTAAAAATATGAAGCAATTATATTCTATTTGTTCACACCGTTTTGGCTGTGAATTTGAGATCAGCATCGGATATTTAGCATTTTTGGTCTACTGAGAGTTCTAGATAGCAGGCTGTAGTTATGTCCAAAGGAATGAATTTGCATTGTATACTACTAGGACTACCATGACTTTTGTGATATATTATACGATCAATGTTAATTTATTGGAGGCTTTTGTTGAACTTGGATCATTTTCTTATCATCTCTTCTTCTTGCAATCTTAGTCATTTGGTAACAGATTAACATATGCTGTATTTGTATCTGTTTATCCGCATTGTTCTTTTGCATGTGTAAGCTTATTCGTTCACTTCTGATCTCCAATGAACATCATGTACGCCGATGGCAGAGTGGGGCAGTACTTTTAGTCTCCAATGAACATCATGTATGCCGACAGCAGAGTGGGGCAGTACTTTTAGTCGCAAAAGTTAACAAGGCAGTTCAGATCGACTTGATATCACGTTATCCATGAGACTGTAACCATGGATTAAATTCATATCTTATCAACATTTTGCATACAAATGACATCTTGGTCTGAGGAGTATATTGGAAATGATGGCTGTAATATCTGAGGATGCAATTACACTGTTGAAGAGCTGGTCAAAAAGATTATTGCTGTTTTAACAAGTTGTTGTTACCTGCTATAACATTCAATTAATTATTTATTGAACTTTCATTGTGATTGATCTGATAAAAACTATGCTTCTTGAACTGTAATTATCAGTGAAAGCTGGCTTTTCTATTATTTTGTGTTACAGACACTTTATAGAGCTTAATAACAGCAAAAGATCTTATGATTTTGTCGTTGTTATTATTATTACATTATGACTTGTAGAGATAGATTGGTGACAAAATTGGTAGAAGAAATGATGAAACTGATTGCATGCAGGAGTTGAAAGAGGAAATTATTGGATGGGTTCTACTTTTCTGCTTTGTTCTTGTCTGAAGCAGCAGAGACAACATTCGTCTGCAGCTGTCAATTTCTCCCATGTTTCTTTCTCATGCAACACAATCATATCAAGAGGAGTTTGATACCAAAAGAACAATAGAATGAATCACGACACTTGTTGTTTATATTTTTACGGAGAAAAAACCTCTAAACTCTTTAGCTCATTTCATATTCAAATTAAAAAAAAATCTTTCATATAAACTCGAAGAGTTTTACATATTTCATCAAAGAGATAATTTTGGTCATAATGTATATAAAAAAAAAGAAAAAAGGAAGAGAGTTAATAATATAATGATCTTATGTCATAATGTTTTTCGGTTATACTAATATAAAATTAAAGCCGAGGAAAAAAAACTAATTAAAATGTAATCGATTGGTTTAGAACGCTATATCTATTACTAATGTGTCTCGAAAATGTCAGCAACTTGGGGTCCCTTTTGCCATTGCAAGAGCATCAAATGGTTTAAACCTTCCAAAATTGATGGCGATCACATCACAAAATTTTCACGTAGCAAACAGTGTCACATGTTAGAGATCAATAAGCTGAAACAAAGACAAGCAGAACGAGCCAATGGAATCAGTACACCATGGATAGCGGTGAAAACAAAGAGCATGCAGAAGACAAGAAAAGATATAACATATATCCTTTATTATCTATTTTGTTCTCTAATATATTATTAGCATTAGATGGTACGAGCACGACGAGGAACTCGACGGTGGGGATCACGACACGTCCACGGGATTGTTGTGGTCGAGGAAGAGCAGCGAGGCCGGCCTGGGGTGGCCGCGCTCCCGGCCGAGGCGCCGCTCGTAGCAGTCGATGGAGAAGAGGGAGAGGGAGAGGGAGAGGGAGAGGCGGGCGGCGGCGCCGAGCCGGTCGGCGGCGGGGCCGAGGCAGAGCCGGTAGAGGCGGCGGTACCCGCCGAGGGCTGCAACAACGGGTCGCGCCCCTGCCCCCGCCGCCGCCCCGCCCTCCACGTGCCGCCCGCACACCGCCTCCCACACGCTCTCCCGCCTGCTCACGGCTGCCCACACCCTGCACACGCAACCCGCCGCAGCCAGCGACCGCCCGTCCAGCCTCCCCAGCACCTCCGCCAACAGGTCCCCGTTGTCATTGATCACCGCAAACACCTCCTCCACCCTTCCTTCCTGCTGCTGCTGCTCATATACTGAACTTGCGTCCATGGCCATTGTTGGTTGCTGAGGTTGCACCACAGCATATATGGATGAGGGAACGCGGTGTTCGGAGGGAGAATGAGAAGGCATCTCCGGGGACGAGAACAAGCGGCCAACCAGGAAGATCCAAGAGCTTGGAGATGCGCAAAAATGGGGGAACGGCAGCGAAGACTTCTCCTTCCCTCGGTCTCGGAAGACGCAAACAAGGCGATAAGTACTGTCGCTGGGGACTCCCAAAGCTTTGTTTCGTGTACAGTGATCTGAACGCCTTCCTGCTACATCAGAGATCGAGCAGCTGTTTCTGCCTCTGCTGCTCCATCTCAGTTACTGCGATGGGTCGACAGAAGACCTACATGCGTGTAGGTCATGATGATTTGATGAGGATCCTGCAATTTTGCTTCTTAGTGTACGATTTATTAAAGGATATCTACAAATGCATTTTGAGTCAGTAAGTTTGCTATGGCCATATAAATATATATGTTATATCTTGAGATGCTGTCATTATTATATATATATATATATATATATATATATATATATATATATATATATATATATATATATATATATATATTGGTGGGAGGTTCGAAGTTTTTTTTTAATAATCTTTTAAATATAGAGGTAAGCCTATATATTTTGATTCTTTTATTGATATAAATATTGCTTGGGCATACAGATATCAATTATAGGGGTATTAAGATAATGAATATTGAGCGAGAATTGAGTAATGTTTCCCTAAATGTTGGGTCAAAACGTTTCTACTTGATTCAAATCAAATTAGATTGAGATACTATCAATATTCAACAATAATACTCTCTCCATCCCTATCTATGTGACAAAAAATAAATAAATGTATAAATTATTATTATTATTATTATTATTATTATTATTATTATTATTTTATAACATTAATATTATTAATTGAATTTGATAATAATTTTATTTTTAAACAAAAAATAAATTAATTAAGAGAATACGATCGATTACTTATCCCCCAATTGCCTAAATGAAAAATGTGTGAAGATAAAATGAGATGAAGACGAGGAGAGTGATGCGGAAGCACTCTCCATCTTTGTCTCACCCCATTGACATCACTACTCGGGTGAGAAGAGAATGACATGGAAACTGAGGATCCAATAAACGAGGGGAATAGGAACCAACGAGCAAAGGGAAACCCATGCGGTTGTAAAAAAGCATCGAGAGCAAAGAAAGGTGAAGAAAAGTGAGCAGCAGTTGGTTAAGCATAAGAACAAAAGAGACAGCAGCAGCTCTGTGCTTCTGCAGTCACCTTTTAAACGAGAGAGATCAGTAAAAGCTGATGCATAAAATGTTATCACAATCCCATCACAACAACATGAAGATAAAAACTGAAAAGAATACACTTCACATGTTCCTAATTTCAATGAATGACAATATTCAGAACGTTTCTTGTATTTTTTTGTGTTTGTTGATTTCAACGTTCAAACATAAGTGTTTAAGAAATCTAAAAAAAGAAAATTCACATTTACTTTCCTTTTAGGAAAAAAAATACAGGTTTGAGATTTCTCAATCCACACCTCTTTTGTTTTTTTCTCAAACAATACCTCTAATTTTAAAAAAAATATTTAAAATATCTTTTATTTTTATTTTTACTAATTTAAAAGGATTATTATAATGTTTCCATTTAGCTCGTTTATAATATTTTTATAATATTTATAATATTTTTATTAAGTTACTAAAAATATTATAAATATTAAAAAAAATACTGTAAGTGATATCGTCTCTTTAGTTTTCATTGCTCACATACTATTATGATATTATATTTTTAAGCTTATGATTAGTTCGGTTAAGGTTACGAGTCTATTTGGATCATTTACAGTATTTTTTAGTATATTTTATAGTGTTTTTATTATGATGATCAAAATATTATAATAAATTAGTTTTTATATTTGGGTGATATTGTTCCTTAAATATTTTAAATATCTATTTGAATTATAGTATGATGTAACAAATGACTCTCAGTATATTTTGATTTCATTTGGCTCGTTTACAGTATTTTTGCTATGATGATGGTGGCCAAAATACTGTAATAGGTAAAAAAATTTCTAAGGAATAGTTTGGGTATTTTTGAAATTAGGGATACTGTCTGAAAAAAAATAAAATGAGATTACCGATTATAATATATCTGAAGTATGAGGATTTTGTAGGAAAATAATCTATTTTCTAATCTCTTTATAGGGTGGGTAAATCAAGTTACAAATAACCTAAAACTAGACAGCGACTAATTTCATAAATATTTTGAACTTTTAACTTTTTACTCAAAATTTCATCCATCAACCTTCATATATATATATATATATATATATATCTTAAATTAGAGGAATCTAAGCCAAACATATTAAGTTGTGTAAACTAACATAAGATTGTAGGATAAATTATTAAGTTGTGGAATAAACTCAATATAGATCACCTAAGACCATTCCTTTATCTATCTTTAAATCTTCACCATCAATAAATATTTTCCTAACATGGATGCATCACCGGGTATAACTTCACGAGCATGTATCTTGCAGAAGAAACAACAAGAGGTGGCGAGCTGAGGCAGAGACATGGTGTTCCCCAGATTGGAGCCCATGAGTGGTCACTTACAGGGATGCTGCAACACCTGCATGCATGGAGGAAAGTGTTGGAAGTCCTCCACAGGCATTAACTCCTTTCTTGGAAGCTAGGTAGGAGGTATCCTCTCTCTCTCTCTCTCTCTCTCTGTGACTTGATCAGCTGCTGCAGTGAGTTCAGCTGAGCAAAGAACTGTGCTTGGATTATGTGTGTCCTCTTCCTGTAGGCAGGGTTTAGGGTTTTGGTTGTGTCTTGCTGTTTCTGCGTTGGGATTCAGAACCTCCGTGAGGTTCCAAGGGTAAACTTCCATTGACAACAGTGTGGGATGGACCACTGTATGTACTAAATAAATAGCATTTCTTTGTAATGCATGCATAATGGTTTTGATACACAGCAAATGTCATGCTGCCAATGTCAAACCTACATTAACTTGGTGCTGAGACAAATACAATTGCTTCACTGTTTTATCGAGGAGCAGTACTTTTCCTGCTGTCGGAGAGAACAAGCATTTCCTTCTATTGGATTTACTATAGTTTACACTTGCATTGCATGTGAGATATGCTGTGTGGGATGATAAATAAGCTGCATTGCATTAGTATATTTCTGTGAACTGGAACTTAGGGAAGAATATTGGAGATGAGGCAAATAGCATGGCTTTACTTTTTTTTTTTTTTTTGCAAAAAAATGGTGAAAATGGAATTCGGGCCAAGGATCTTTCTATCTAGAGTCAATTTGTAAGCTAGTTGATATCTTACAAGAAAATGGTTTTCGAGGCATGTTCAAATGACAAAATATATTTCAACCCATATATATATATATATATATATATATATATATATATATATATATATGTATGTATATATATATATATGTATGTATATATATATATGTATGTATATATATATATATGTATGTATATATATATATGTTCAAAGAATAGGCTTATTTATGCTGCTTTCTTTATGCATGAGGGGCAAGAAACTTAGAGAGAGACTAGATTATAAAGGAAGATATTAGAAGCAATAGTTATCTACATTTGTTCAACAAGTGCAGGGAAAGATTAGGTGTGCAATAACTGCTCAATATCTGTCAAGCTTTTGGAGAAGCTCCCAGCCACGGCAGTGCAATTTGATCTCCATAGCTTCTTTATGTTTGGTTATAACAGGTATCTACCTTATCACCTAAGAGCATAAAGAATAAATTGGTTAGATAACAAAGAGCACCTAATAATAATAACATTTTTTCACCTTAGATCTGTAATATGTCTTTCACGAGAATAATTTGAATAAATTGAGATGTTTATGCTTATAAAATATGAACATGCAACAAACATGCCTAAATTCCAGTAAAGATGCGGTTCCATAGACAGTTGTACTGGCTTGCAGTTTTTTTTATACTACTCATATCATGTTTTATATATTCTACTTGTAAAAAAGGAATACAAAAACTTTTTTTTAACATGAAATGATATTCAAATAAAATTAGGTATGCTAAAAAGGGAAACTCTATACTGTTCCTATCTTTTTTTTATCTTATTCATAGAAATTCAATTTTATCTTGAATCTTTTTTTTATACACAATGATTTTGATCGTAATATTATAATAACAAGTAAAAATTGAATGAATTGTAACTTTTCATAGACGACTTGATGAGCAAACATGATAGAATTTTTCCGATAATACTTTATCAGTTCATTTCTATTTATACTTGTCACAAATTCAAAGAATCGAAATGTAACACCTCTATTTACTCCCACATTAAAAAGTGAAATAAACCTTAGATTGACTTTTATGATCCTAATGAATGTACTATTAATTTGTGCATAATCATTTTGAGGAAGTAATTCAAGCACAACAATGCTAATAGAGTTACTAGGTAAGTTATCCCATCATATCAGACCGCGACAATGGGTATCAGAATCGATATAGTATTCGAATTTGGTGAAAGGCTTAAGCAAGAAAGGACGATCGGAGGATGAGGTCATTGGGCACGTCATGACATGAAACTATCAATGGATAGTCTTACATGCACCATGCTAGGATTTAATTTTGAGTTATGCTAAACCTTGATGAAGATATCAAGCTTTTAAGTGGAAAAAATTATATAACTCTCCGACTTGATCCCACATAAAAAATGGATTGATTGGCTTATAAGAGTGTAATAAAGAATCAAAACATTCAAGTACTAATATAACATTTGACTAGTAGAGATAGTATTCTATATTGATTACCTGGTAAACATATAACTTTGTATAACTATTTGCCGTAGTTCTGATGCTTCTTTGAGAAGTCATGCATCGTCTTTACGATAGCAGCAAACTTCATGGATCTCAGTCGCCCCATATGCCTAGAAAAAATAGAAAACAAACTAATGTTGTGATACTTTCACTATAATAAGGCAACAGCAGTTAGTAAAATAAGCAATTTAGGGTCACAAATCAATACTGAATAAAACCCAGAATGAGAATAAAGAACACGAGTCTAAACTTCATAAGCCTCAAAAAATATTAGTACAACATAAACCAGAAATAAATCTTGACAAGGAACCAAGAGATTGAGTAGTTTGTGTATTATAGTGACTCTACAATCACAGTATCAAGTTCCAAATTTTAGCCATGTTGCTGATCTAGCATAAAAGGTATCAAATTAATTTGATTAAGGAATACTAACAAACAAATTTTACTGCCCCAATATCAACTTTTGGTTACATGAGAAAGGAACTTACACGATCTCTGTATATCGTAATCTCCATGCAGGAAATCCTAAATGGCATCTAGCAGGCCCATATACAAGAAGAAGATCAGGTTCAGCTCCGGCAGAACCTGAGAAGAAAGATAATTTTTAACTCATGACACGCAAAAGATGAAGAACGAAATACAAAATGCAAAAATAATCTGAATCTACCATGTGGAACCACATACCTGTTGCTTTTAAAGCATTAGCTACATCTGATTCTGTGAAGTCTGGTTCTGACCTATAGCAGATTTCAGAATCATCTTTCATGTGCTCAGAATATAGGAAGCTAGCTGCTTTAGCAACCCCTTCTTTACCATCAGATAAAGAAATAATCTCAATTGCCATTTTTTCAAAATGAAAAAGTGAAGTCGCCATCTTTGCATCAACGACCTATATGTTGAGCCAGGACTCGGACATTGTCATGAATGTATATCCAATGATGAACAGTTATTTAACACGAGAAGAAATCCTAAGCATGAAAAACCGAGGAACAGAAGATCCTAATTTGCAACTTACAGAACATGTTGTCATGCTTGTATTTGTCAAGCTCTCCAAATCAGTTCCAATAGTCTGCTTCAGCACACCTTAAAAGTCAATCTAATAACAGATTAATGTCATGCCCGTGGCCATGCTATGTAATTTTGCAAGTAAACATTATGATTAACAGCAGAAGTAGGTGAGGTACACTGTGCCATTTCAAGTATGATTTCTTGTAAGCATGCTTACCATGCATGTCATAAAGGATGACGTACTTGATACCTATAGATGATAACCAGCACAAAAGTTGTTTTATCTTTGTTGTATTTTTTGCTTCTTCACTATCAACCACAACAGCAAGGGAGTTGAGCTTATCCAGCCGGAGATTTTGATGTTTCAGTAGCAGTCCCATTGAAATGATGTAGCAAAACAGTAAATCATTAACAGACGACCCCATATGCCTGAGATTGACCATCAGATGCAGCAAATACCAACAAAAACCCAGTATCAACTTCAAAATGATGGGGGACTGGAATTTCTGACCAAGAGCCAAAAAGAAGCAAAAAATAGTATTTGTTCAGATTATTCTGTTCAAAAGAAAATAACAAACAATAAAAACTAAAAGAATTGAAAACTATCTTAGTATGTGGCCTTTAACCTTATTTCACACAGCAAGAGGGAGAAAAAAAAAAGAGAGTTGCCATTATCATGACCGGTGATATCTTAATTCTTCTTTTGAAGGAGCCGGTGTCCTTCTTGCTTCTATATTTCTAGTTTCATATATGTTCTTTTATGTTCCTTTTCTCCATGAATTCTCCATATACTTTCTCCTATTTTAATGAAAATTCGGGTGAGCATATTTACTGTGGCCTTTTCAATAAAAAGAAAAAAAAAATGATTAAGCTAAGCAACTCTCCCAGTGAGGTAAGTGAACACGTACAACAACAAAAAGGTTGGCTACATGGATCATTTCTTGCTATTAAGGTCTGTGTAGGTCAAGAAAAGGACAAGGACACAGCACTATCTACCAAAATTAGCGCAAATGATGGTTAATTTTTTTGCCTTTGCTTCCTTATGAGAGATATCCAATCAATCAAAATGGAGGTTAAAGGGGGTCTTTAATCTAGTCGTATCCTTTATCCCCGGACTTGTATTGACAAGAATTCTACTCGACGAGAAACTGAACAAAAACATGCCAAATTGGCCAATATCTGGTGCGTTACCAATTGAAGTATTTCGAAACATTTCCTCCACCAACACCAATAGACAAAACGTCCATGTGCCAAGCAATTTGTTGACCGTAGGCAGAGTCTTTGAGCTCAACCACATCCTATCAAAATTTCCTTTGTTGGACAACATGAAACTTAGCCAACGATTGAAGGACTCCTAGAATTTGACAAGATATCTTTCTGCTGATTGAGCTCACTACATATGAGAAATCCCTTGTCCTAAATCAAAGCACCTAAAGAGATCTGTGTCATGATCTTTACAAAGACAAGATCGACTCGTTGTTTAAATAAAAGGCCAGCCAAAGTCAACAGAGAAACGATCAAGACCCTCACCACCGGCTCCCAGGAATCACTCCAATTCCACAACTGTGGCATATCAAGTTTAAGTAAATTAATGCTAAGAATTCAAGTTCCTGACCTGTGGAAGAGGGATCCAGACCCAAGTTTTCTCGCAAGCCAAATCCATCGCCTGCAACTAGCATACGACGCCAACAACACAAGTAGATCGAGTTCCCTTCTTTTCCATCTCACAAGACTTATAATCACAGAACAGATGATTACGAAGGACGAATTTCGAGAAAGGGTCTGCAAATAATCCTTTCATCAAACTAAACCACATCATAAGTAAACACGCACCAAAAAATGGAAAATCTAGTAAATTCCAGGAGGAGAAACTAACACGGAGCAGCGATCGACAGGCAGAAAGAGACGTTCGACGAATAGGGGCACCGTGACATTCCGCCCGCATACAAATGGGGGCGACGCCGCGTCGAGGTCCAACGAGTCAATCGGGGGTTTAAGCGTAGAGATCCGACCCGTTACTTAGTGGCCTGCGGAGAGAGGACGGTGCATGTACAGAGACGCGATCCGACCCGGTAAGAGCTAGAGAACACGATCCGACCCGGTAAGAGCTAGAGAACACGATCCGACCCGGTAAGAGCTAGAGAACACGCTCCGACCCGGCAAGCTCTAAATACTCCGTCAAAAGTGGGGCTTACCGTCACCTAAGCCTACGTGGTGAGATGGCATCGGCTGTCCTATCCCACCACGGTTAGTTTTTTTTTTTTCTTTCCAAAATAAAAAAAGATGACACTTAATCCAGAATCAAAATCTTTTTCAATTAGATCAATTTATATTTTATAAAAAATATTAATATAAGTGAATCGAATATATCATCATCGATATCTATTTATGTTATACATCAAAAATTATTTTGAACATCTCAATCGAAAATATATAATCACCAAATTAGTATTTTACAAAGCAAAAATTATACAGTAAAATTTTAAACTCTCAATCTAAAAATAAGCCAGTTCGACTAATTGATCAACATCGAGTCGAATCTTGCCATAAGCATTTATTACTGTGAGTAATAAAATTAATAAATATAAATAAATTAATTCGATTCGATTACATCATTAGTATATTATGATGCAGTAGAGATGATGTGAATGGTCGTCACAACATACTTATGATGTGATGTGTCAAAGACGTGACGAGTTGGAGTTCTTATGCAGTGGGATCGTTTTGGTTGTTGTTGAGTAGCCATCATGACGTTGAAGTTTTCATGAACACGTCTTCACCAATGTGATGGTGATAGAAGAGAAATTTAAACGGTTCCAAAACCAACCTAAAGCATCGATCAATAGAGTCCTGATTTCATGAGAAACTGTTTGTCAAAAACTACAACCAACCAACCTTACACACCAATTGCAAGAGTAGAAAACAGGGTACGTATACTCTCACAAGAAAAGCAACTCTCCGTATCTCAAGGAAAATATATAGGGGACAAAGAAATTTATAATAGCTTAAAACATAAGATAAAATATTTTTAAAATAAAAATATATAAGATAAGTTTTCGAACTCTCAAGTGGATTTAGTTTATTATCATCTAACTAATATCTCATATGTAAATGTGAGAAAACATATCATCTCACTACATCAATAGCTTCTATAATAAGTTTGAACTCCCTAATCTTCCACCTCCTCAACATGGTTTAGAGCTGCATAAAACATGTGCGATGTCGATGATGGCGGACGACGAGGTCGCTAAGAGCCGCGGGTAGCTATTGTAAATGACGAGAGCGACAACGAGAGGTAAGGATCGCTTTTTATCTAATTCAATGTCGACGCAGTTGTCGAGCGGCCCTTTTGTTGCTTCGCATCTACATCTGCGATCCTTTTGTCATCCGACAATTGTGTCAATATTGACGCGATGCAAAGCGACCCTCACCTTTTATCACTGCCCTCACCTTTACAATAGTCATCCGTGACCTCCAATGGTACCATTATCCATCATCATCAACTAGAACATTAAAATTATCTTTTTACCCTTTGTTTTTATATTTTTATTGATAAAACCGATAACGTCAGGATAAATGGACAAACATGTTTTACTTTTGTAACTATTGCTAGTTATAGGTGCCCTACAAGCCAATCACGTGAGTGATGACATATATGACTTGACACGTAGTCTTTTTACATATTATTATTATTATTATTATTATTATTATTATTTTATATTTTATCACTTTATATTACTTGTTACATTAATATATTGTGATGCCCTTGGATATGTGCAATGAGAATCGGATCGTGATGAGATCATGATAATGAGATCGATTCACCTTTAAACACAGATCCTAAATAATCTCGGTCATAGGTTACTCAAGAGGGACATCGAGATACCTAGACAGACTAGTGTGTTGTATACCCGTCCATATAATGGATGCAGCTGGTCTCATAATTGCTCATGTTAGGACACTAGGAATATAATGTAGGTATTCATTGGAGAATGAGTTCGCTGATTGATCCGCTCACGGAATATTGAATAGTTGATGATGCCTTATTATTAAATAATGATTCTGTCATCTTGGTGGTGTATTTGGTCTTTAGACATGT